TTTTTTGAGTGTATAGCGAATATGACAACACACAAGCCCGGGTAGCACATCTCCCAGCCTCCCAGGGCCAGGGGAACAGCCCCTACTGCCAGCAACGACCAGAAGGGCATACCTAAGAGATGTACGATACCGGCAGGGGCATATGGAAAATTCTTGTGCCTGTACTGAACGGCTATCCGGTAGGGGCAAACTGGAAATTTGGCACGGGTACCGGTAGGGGCATATTAAAAATGTCTCAGGCCCAAACGACACCAGGGGTTGTTTGGAAACTTGAATGACTGTCAGAGGGGCAAATCAGGGTAAGTCGGCCGTCAGAGGGGTAAATCACAAATAAACGCAAACTTCAGGGGCATTTCGAAAAATTTCCCTAAGTTAAAACATGCAAGTGTTAAAAAAAAAAAAAAAAAAAAAAAAACATGTAAATGTTAGTAAACAGCTAATGGGTTTGATTCCTGCCTGAATCAGAATCATGATACGATAGTTGCAAAGAATGAATTCCAAACGGCCTCTCACTCCTGCAGACATCCGCACACAGGTTGCAGAGACACTGGCTGCGACTCCCATCATAACAGCCCCGGCTATTTTGATGGAAGGGGTGGAGATTGCAACGGAGGACCCTATGGGACACCTGCCTATAGACCAGGCCGGCCCGATGGCGGGCCCAGCGGACACCGACAAGGATGCGGCAACAGTCCTGGCCGGGCCAAGGGCCCACACCTCACAGCACACATACACTGTGGCGCCGGCGCTGGCCGCTCTGCTGGGAGGTGCATCGCGGGAAATTTTCTTCCACCTCCACCAGGCACTGGGGAATACCATACAAGGAGAATCCCCTCCTCAGCAGAAGCCTGCTTCCCATGGCCTCCAGCGGCAACATCTAACATCTCTGCACCCCGACGGTGACAGAACCACCTGCGACCCAGGATCCGCCTGAGGCGCCACCCCCGTCACTAGGGATAGAGGTGCACATGGCAGAGAATACCATCACTAAGGAGGACTGGGAGGACCTGGCACAGCAGCCTCACTCCCCACCTTGCGATGGCAACATGAGAGGCCCGAAACGGCTCTCACGGGAAAGGATTGTCAAGGCAAGGCTCAAAGTCATAAGAAACACCCTACTCATGGGGCTCCTGGCTCAAGGGACCCATATGAGTCATGATATGACCATTCCCCCATTACATTGGGAGAGCATTCGGAGAGCCTTTATGAGCACAGCATCCCTGAGTCCCTGACACATTACATCGACAGCTTCCCTGACCCCCCCCTCCATTGACTGGCACACAGTAGCATTGCGGATCAGAGATGCCATTTATAAGCTCAGGGAAAGAGTGAGAACAATTAGACAACAGACGGGGCAACAGCAGACGGAAACAGTCTGAGAGCAGCAACTAACACTGAGGTTTACCGACTCAGAACCATGACAACAGCCAATTGACTGGGAAGGGATAAGCTGGGCGGCAGTAATAATACAGGAGCTGGATGATGTCATGGTGAGGGACTCACAGGATACAGCCCTGGTGATAGCAGGGCCTGAAAGACTGGTGCCATCACACCTCCTCAGGCTTCTCATACACATAAAGCCTGCCCCGGCAATGGGGGACATGATTCCCGGGGCCGGGGCACCCCGAGACGAACACTCACTGCAGCTAAATGCAGAACTGGGCGAATGCACCTCAGAATCCGAATCGGATGTCTCAGACAGCTTGGCTAAATCTACCTTCGAGTGGGACCTACCCGAACTGGGCACTGTCCCCTTCGCTCCAGTAAATTATCAGCCCCCCCTGCGGCTTACGCCGCCACCACAGTCTCAACAGTCCCAAGAACAGACTCAAGAGGACACCCCAAAAAATACCGCAGCGTTGGAAGCGCGGCCTCTCACCTTGCAGCTCACGATGGAACAATCCGAACCCGCTGCAACAGCAGCCAACACAACAGGCCGTAACCATAGTGACAATTCAAGGAAGGATCACCTGAACACTTGCACCAACAACGGCCCCTCCTCACAACCCCGTATTATCTGGTCCGCTGGGGTGGTGGTTTTGCCCCTGAGGAGGGAAAAGGAAGGAGCGGCATGGCAGATGGGTCAGTGATACAGCCGGCAGCGGGTCCCCAAATTGGCTGGCAAGTCCTTTCACCACTGACCTCCAGCAGGGCTACACAATACAGGGATGGAGGGGCCAAGCCTCTCAGGTACTTACAAGAATCAAGGTGAAGATGGCATTGCATGTCATGCATAACGAAGATCATACCAATGCCTTTTGAACGATCCTCCCCCAAGACATACCGTTCCCAAATGGGGTGAACCCAATCCTCCTGCTATTCCCACAGGCTGAAAGATCGCCACATGAGGACGCCCACCTGCAATGGATTACCAAGCATCAGCTGTTGAACATGCCTACAATCAGAATACGATCGAATATCACTTGGACCACAGAGGAGCATACCCTCTTCCGACGGATTCTCATACAGGAAGACGGCTGGAGGCACACCAACAGTGCGATGACCCGTCATTCATCAGACACCTCCAACCTAGGTTTTGAAGGCCTCTGTTGATCTACGGACTAGATAAGTGGTGCTGCCCTACAACCTCCACTGTCTCAAACATACTTCGCACG